TACATGCCCTTGACCGGAATTGAACCTGAAACCTTTCAGTCCACGGGTGACCATGCAGGTTAGCCCATTGCCCACGGGTGACGCTCTAACTGCTGAGCCAAACTGGCTAGGGTACGATGTACATTTTTACATCTCTGAAGTTGTAATACATCTTACAATGGAAGACAGACTTCTTTCTCAGCAGTACATAAATAATGGCACCTTTGGTTTAATGAATTACAACAGAACCTGGTTTCCCTAAGTGACTTTTCTGAGTATTTCTGTATTCTGTTCCACAGGTTCCTTTCTGCCTCAATTGTTCCATCTTCCCTGGAGACATGTCCGTCAGGGGTGCAAGAAACCCGGTGCCCTGCAATGGCAGTAGGGAGTGGGGGCAATTTGTACCTGAGGATTTGAACCTGACTGATGAGGAGCTGAGACTCAATTATCTGGGGCTCCAGACGACGGACATGTTCCTGCCCATTTGTGTCACATACCTGTTGATCTTCGTGGTGGGCACCGTGGGCAACGGGCTAACCTGCCTGGTCATCCTTCGCTACAAGGCCATGCACACGCCCACCAACTACTACCTCTTCAGCCTCGCAGTATCGGACCTGCTGGTGCTGCTCCTAGGCATGCCCCTGGAGCTCTATGAGAAGTGGCGTAACTACCCCTTCCTCCTGGGTGCTGGTGGCTGCTACTTCCGCACGCTGCTCTTTGAGACAGTCTGCCTGGCCTCTGTGCTCAATGTCACCGCCCTGAGTGTGGAGCGCTACGTGGCCGTGGTGCACCCACTGCAGGCCAGGTCAGTGATGACCCCAGCTCATGTTCGCCGGATGATCGGAGCTATCTGGAGCCTTGCCTTACTCTGCTCTCTGCCCAACACCAGCCTCCATGGCATCCAGCTGCTGGATGTGCCCTGCCGGGGTATAGTGCCCGACTCGGCCGAGTGCAAGGTGGTCCGCTCAAAGGCCTTCTACAGCCTACTCATGCAGGCCACAGCACTGCTCTTCTTCTGCCTGCCCATGGCCATCATCAGCGTGCTCTACCTGCTCATTGGGCTGC